CAACATTTTTCACAGTAATATCATGGTGGGTGTCACTAGTAGAACCGGAACCACATTATCATCTTTTGATATATCTTTTGTTTAGAAAATGTAGTTTATCCTCGATTATTTGTGAGGTTCCCGCTGCTCCTTCTTTATATTTCACTGTAGAATTTGATGGACTGTTGTGTGTTTAATTGTATCTTTTGATCATGATTTAGTCTGTTTTTCTTAGTGTTATAGGTTTTGATCGCCTTCTTGATATATTTTCTTTCTTTTATACGTGTACATGTTTTGTCACCTGAATTTTATTGCATTTTGTTAAAAAAAAATCACTTTTGAAAGAAATATAAATTGCTTTCTTAATTTTGAAGGATATCTTTTGTTATAGTGTGTTTTGTGTTCTGTCTTTATCGCATTAACTTTGCATCTGTTTGTTCATAAGCTTTAAATTCGTTCAATTCAAATTTAAATTACTTTTTAACAGTCTATATAACACCAAAAATGATGGGAATATATTTTAAAGAAATCATTATAAGGATAAACATACACGTAAATAAAGTTATAATATACCATTCATTTAACTATAAACAACATGATATATGATATTAAGTTGCAGCAGGCTTTATGAAATGAAGATTTAACCGTCACTTCAAGGACGGCTACAAATCATGTTTCGTTGTAAAGTACAATCTTAAGGGATTATTTACTGTAAACATTTTTGAAACTTTGCTATTTTAAAATATGTTATCTGTATATATATTGAATTCATAATTATAAACAATTTCAACATGAAACTTCTTTGATAACGTCCTTAAGAACATTATGAAAGTATTTTTTTTTTGGGGGGGGGGGGGGGGGGGGGGGGTGTAATGTCTAGTAAAAAGAAGTTCTACAAATTCAGAAAGAGAACAAGTTTAGAATCACATTAAATAAGTGGTTCTTCAAAGTGAATAGCTGCAATGGAGAGTTTGAACTGAATTTCATTTATCTATAAAGTATGCGATCAGGTAGACATTAAATTTGATTTAAATCAAAGTATTATTTTATTTTATGTGTTCTATGAGATACCGACAAAATAAGGCAGACAATACTTTTGAACACGGAAAGGGTGTAGTTCTTTGTTGTAAAAATGGTTTCTGTTTTTACCTTTTACTTTATTTACCCATATATAATATCTACCACCAATTTAAAGCTCATATGATAATCAATATCAGAGATAATGTAGACTTTATTTGCGAGAGATTGACCGGAATTTTGAAGTTTGAAATCCGTGTTCTAGCAATCCTGGGATCTTTTTTAAGTTTTCATCTACGATGTGTTGATAATAGAAAACAATTTAACGATACTAAAGAATTAAGGGTACAAAGCAGTCTCAGCTCTATCAAAGGGTAGAGCCCAGAAGACATGACAATAGTCATTAATATTTCAAAACTTTTACCAGTGAGTACGTAGTAATATTTTTGACTTCAAATCCATGGAGGATAAAAAAGTATAACGAAAATACCAAAATCCTATGTAAATTCAAATTTCTGCAAAACTCAAAACTATGCAAACTCAGCATACACGTATAGTAGACGCTACATGTTGCAGTGTAATCTAAAGGAATAATAAACCATTGTATTGGTTAATCACAGATATATATTCACTTACATAAAATGCTTGAATTACTGCAAAAAAAGAAAAGATAAATCTTTGTCACATCTTAAATCAGCTTTAAGCCTGTATCATATAGGGGTCAAATCCAAAGGATTGCGAACTTCGATAATAAACTCATCATAGAAAACCAGGATACAAATTCTGTACGCCAGACGCGCATTTCGTCTACAGTAAACAATGTTATGTGTTTAAAATCTCGCTTTTGCTTTTTTCATATTAGTGCATGTCCATTTAGATAGTTTCGATATCTTTTATTTGTCTAGCCTTGATATTTCATATGTCCAAATATGTTACTTCGTTGTAATATATCTGCTCCGTAAAGTTTATCTTTGGGTTGAATTAGTTATGAATTATACTGTAGACAAACGCGGTAGTAGTAAATGGTGTTGTTCATATGACTCTCCTTACGCTATAAAACTATACACTTTAAATAAAACTGATGTAAACTCAGCAAGCACGTACAGATGCGCAAAACATTTACAATGAAATCTAGATTCAAATTGTCTAAATCTGTATGATTGTGAAATATTGAATTTTATTTATTGCACTCTCCTATCCTGTCGTTGAACAATTGTCATATGAAAAGCATAGTATGAGAGGAACTTAAACTAGTGCATTAAATTCGATCTCAAAATTTGTAAGAATAAAACAAATGTAATATCATTGACCATGCAATTTCCCTATACATATGAATACATTGCAGACACTACAAATTAACAAAAACATTTAATCGAGGAAAATGGGGGGATCGGGATTTCATTTACTTTACGTAACAAGAACCATATGGAGCTTTACTACATTTATCCTAATCCTTACTCTTAGTTTAATTTAAACACGTTTTATTATTGAAAAAGAGACAATAACAATGGAATAATACAATTAAACATAACAGTCAAATATCGGATTCGGAAACAGTTTAGTAATCCTTAATTAAAACATATCCTGACCTAACCAAAGCCTAAACTGAACCCTAACTAAAAAACTACAGAGTCCCCTTAACTATCGGGTTGTTGCCTCTTTGACACATTCCCCTTTTCCATTCTCAATTTTAAGGTCCAATGATCGCTACAAAACAAATTTCGTGGTGTATAATGAATGTCCCTTTGGTATCTTTCGCCTCTCTTCTTCTATAAACAAAGATGCAATATTATTAAATATCTTTATCAAATACTTTCATTTTTTTTTAAATACAGATAATAGGTCGCACATACCAAAATATGTTGTCAAAGCAGAACTAATTCGCCGTTTGTTTTCCTTTCAAGGCAAACTTGCACAGTGTATTTAAAGGAGAAACTGGTTTTTCATCCGGCCTTTTTATTGGAGTACATGTTTTTATCGTGTCAAAATAAATATTCCAGAAATATGTGTCAGTGAAGGGTCTGTCGTTTCATCCAATTTACACAATGTCTTCTTTCATCGATAATTCAGCAAACTTTCAATATTTGTTACTGGAGTCTGGTTAAGCAATCAACAAGCCATCAATTAATCGATCTTTTTTCTGTTAGTGTTGGGAAAAAAATAAGACCTTTACAATTGGTTTTAAGATTGTTCCATTTTATCCCAGCTCCTCTGAAACTAAATATTCTAATGGTTTTGAAAGCATGCAATATGGTATGTATAGAACAGGATTTGGCATAATCTATCCCCCCGGAATTTCTGGGAGGGAACACTTTTCGATAACATAAATGCTGTCGGTTCTATAAACTTTATTGAAAATCACATGGTAACAAATTAATTTACATGCATCTAATACAAACCCTGCTGAAAACACCCACCGTACTGTAAGCAGTATATAAAAATAAAAGACGTTTGTATGCAAATGCGCCATTGTAAATTCACATATATGATTCTATAAAACACATTTGTTATTCATTGATTATCGTTTAGTCTTTGAAAAGTGTCATCGTCTATTAATATTACTAATCTAACTATTGTTCTGTTGTAGCGAACCCATTTTGAACCTTCTTTCCAACTTAAGTGCCGTTTTCTATTTCCTTGTGGACATTCTGTTTGTTGCTTCACCTTGCATGTTTTTCATCCTTTTTTTTAATTTTACTTTTACGACATAGATAGATAGGCAAAGAGGATGTTTATTTTAACGTAATACTGGTATACCTCACCACTTTTTATACCTGTAACAAATGTGGCTATCTGTACCATGTGCTGTTCGTTATTCATGCTTCAATTTCTAGAAGGATTCTTGTGTTTGTGGTTGTACTACCCATCATTTTGGTTATTCGTAGAATCCTCGAAATGTTTTTTTAAAGATACATTGTTTTGTCTCTGTTCATCTACAGTACTAATAAAAAACGGTATCTTTTATATGATGACATATATGTAACATATGACACCAATATTCTAGTATAGTTTTACTCTATGAATCTTCTAATAATAATAATAATGCCACAATTATCACTTTCAATATTGAAATGCAATTAGCATTGACTGCAGTGGCGCCACCTTGAACGCGGCATACTAGTGAATCAAACCTGGAAAAGAAGAATTTGACAATTTACTATTACATTTCTGTAAAGTTTCTATATTTGCTATCAATTCAAGGCACAATCTTATTACAATAAAAAAAATTCAAAGAGACAGCGCTTTACTTTAACGACCATCGGTCCCGTTGATTTAAAACGGAATCAATGTTGTGACTGCAAAAAATCTACGTGGATAATTCAGCAACCAATTTTCACTGGAAAAAAATTGAGTAAAAATATTCATTTGTTATTGTATGTTTCTTCTTTTAGTACAAATCGTGCAATTATGAGTCAAATTCATCTTTTATGCAATGTATACTGTTCAGCTTTAGTTGGTTTTTTTCAAAGATTCATTAAATGCAAAATGAAAAGAACTTTGTTATATAAATGCAAATTTTCCAGTATGTTTTTATTTTCTGTTTTATAATGCAATATGTACCCCAAACATTAATTTTGATCACGCCACATCTATAACGTGTGACTTATTACGTTATGATGGCCAAACGATGGAACTTGAAGCTCGTTATTCTGGTAGTCGAGATGTTATGTTTAATAATGAAAAAAAAACTATTCTTTCCTTTGAAAGAGTTGAAATATATTACTTTTTTGCAATTTCAGATGCAAATTGATACCTTCTCCTGTCTTATTTTTTCAAATTGAATTACTTGTTATACAATTAACGATGATGCTTTCACGAATCCTTGTAAATCTTTACACAACGTTGAAATTGTTTATTTCGTAACATGTATAAACTCTACATACAGTGTTCACTTTCACTGATTTGTAGATGGTCGCGTCATAGCCTCTGGTACAGTTGTTTATTTTATTATGTTAAATCACCAATTAGTTCTTTGGCATGCTGCAACTTAAATACAGTGTTCATTAACATATAACTTGCCGACTGAAAAGTCTTTTCACTTTCTTTTCATATTCAAGCTCGACTAAACTTCCTTCTATAAAGGTCTTTCCATCAGCGAACTGGTACTCGTATCCTTGTTTACAATCACATCGGTATGCTCCTCGGGAGTATTTATATCCAGGTATCTTCTTGCACTGAAAACAAAAATGTGGCTGCATGTAGTTTTAATTTTCAACTAAAAACACCATAAGTGTAAAATACATGTTTTATCAATTATTTATTAGGAAACAACCATTTAATTCTTAAGTTTGGGGTATGGGTTTTTGCTAAACAATTTTTCTTATTCTGATTCCCAACTTAGAAGAAATTAATATTTTAATCAAAGTTGAATAGCCGTTCCCTAAAACTTACTCTCTTATAGTTTTGTTCTTGAACGAAATGTAATATGTAGTAAAAAAATATGAATAAAATGCACCGAGTATATTAACATAAAGTAATATAATGCTAACTGAGTGGAGGCTAGTGATAAATGAATAGACACAATTTCTGATAAGATAATATTTACCGTAGTAGATATATGACATCTTGCTGTGTTTTTGAAGGCATTGGCAACACTAAACGGCTGGGGACATTGGTTTATTTCCAGGTTGTCAAGAGGAACATCAACCGTTACAACTCCTCTGTAAAAAGTGTGGACAATCGTACACATATATTATTTCTGTGTTCTATGTCTTTCTAAAAGTTTTTTATTGGTATTTCCTCGCGTTTCTGTAACAGTATTGTTGCAAATCCTCAAAACGATTGATATATTGATATAAGAAGATGTGGTATGAGTGCCAATAAACAACTCACCATCCAAGTCACAATTTGTAAAAGTAAACCATTATAGGTCAAAGTACGGCCTTCAACACGGAGCCTTGGCTCACACCGAACAGCAAGCTATAAAGGGCCCCAAAAATGACTAGTGTAAAACCATTCAAACAGGAAAACCAACGGTCTTATCTATATAAAAAAAACGAGAAACGAGAAACACTTATGAACCACATCAACAAACGACAACCACTGAACATCAGATATGGCTATAACATAACCTATTGGGGAATGTTTTGAGTGAAATGGTTACAGAAAACAAAATCAAATTATACTATTTGTTGCTTTCAAAGCTGCTTCTTGTGAAGTGTAACTTTGAAAGGTGTATCTTTTTGTTAGCGTCCTCAATGACTGTAATAAAGTTTTTATTTCTTTAATAAACGTAAATTAAAAGGTGAAAGTCTTTTGTCGCTGGCTGAAATTAGACAAAAACTAACTGATTTTTATGACATTATCATTGATAAAGCAAACATCGATCACATATTTGACTTGGAGTCCATTCTAAAAAAATCATTGACAATGGATGTAATTAAATTAAGTTTTTTATTATTACGACTTATTTTATCTTATATCGAACTGTTTCTAAAAAAATTTAAATATGCAACTTATTTTATACTTTATATAAGTAGTGTTTTATCAAGCAGATATAAATGTAATTTGTAATGAACTGGGGAACATATTTACACGGGAAGTCACTTCTATTTTGTATAAAATTCTGAATACTTATTTTGTTATTTTCTTCAATATCCTTGTTAATGTATTTGCACTATAAAAAAGGACTTAAAAGAGGGACGAAAGATACCATAGGGACAGTCAGACTCATAGATCGAAAACAAACTGACAACGTCATGGCCAAAAATAAAAAGACAAACAGACAAATAATAGTACAGATGACACAACATAGAAAACTAAAGACTAAGCAACACGAACCCCACCAAAAACTGGGGGTGATCTCAGGTGCTCTGGAAGGGTAAGCAGATCCTGCTCCACATGTGGCACCCGTCGAGTTGCTTATGTTATTACAAATCCGGTAAATAGTCTAATTCGGTAAGTCACATTCGTGAAAAGGGAAGGGTATTGTAGTTACGACATAAGGAACATATCCGATATCATCTGTGAAACGGTTATTCCATAACGGTCAACCAACTCGTGATGGCGTCCGTAAAATTTACGAAGGGATGACTTCAACTTCACCATTTGGAACTCTTGGTTTAAAAGCTTCCTTGTGAGCAGCAATCCTCTATCAAGGAAATCATGATAGGAAACACAAGCCCGGAAATATCGTATCAATTGGGAGATATATACTCCGTATGCAGGCGCTGCTGGAATGTTGCTACATAGAAATGGAAAGTTCACAATTGGGAAGCTGAAATCATCTCTTTTGTCGTAAAGTTTTGTTTTCAACCGACCCTCATTGTCAATTTCTAGATGTAAGTCAAGATATGAGGCAGACTTAACTGTATCTGTAGTATCCTTTATCTCTAGTTCGATGGGATAGATTCGTTCAACATAGTCACCAAATTTTGTATTATTTAGTGAGAGAACATCATCTATATAGCGGAACGTAGAGTTAAAGGATATTGCTAACTTCTTATCTCTCTCCCTAAGAAGCTCCTGTATGAAGTCAGCCTCATAATAATAAAGAAACAAGTCGGCAAGAAGAGGGGCACAATTGGTTCCCATTGGAATTCCGACAGTCTGTTGAAAAACACGTCCTCCAAACGTAACAAATATGTTGTCAATCAAGAAATCAAGCATCTTGATAATGTCAGTTTCAGAGAATTTTTTGTTTGAATCAGAGTGATTCTTTACAAAGTAGGATTTATCCCTCCCCAAGACAAGATACTTGTATCTACGTTCGCCAAAGTAATACCAACTCTTTCAATTTGTCTTTTAGTTTGGAATGGGGAATACTTGTGTAAAGTGTAGAAAAGTCAAATGTTTCAATACTATTGCAAGATGAGAGAGTCTTAAATGTACCTTTATCACACTTTTCATAATATGTTGAATAATTGAAGGTTTAAATGCCGATAATATAGCAACGCTAGACGATTTGTCTCTCTTTTTACCCGATACATTTATGTTTCCGAGGTGTTTATCAAATGCTAAGTTTTGTACGAAGGATGTGTTCTTATTGTCGTATCCCCAATCTCGCCCTCTTTCTCCCGAATATGACCCTCACTTAGACGTATCACCGGATTTTTATGTATATGAGCAACATGGCGGCATATGGAGCAGGATCTGCTTACCCTTCCGGAGCACCTGAAATCACCCCCGGTTTTTGGTGGGGTTCGTTTTGGTCAGTCTTTAGTTTTATATGGGTTTTTTATGTGTACTATTGTTTGTCTTTTGGTCTTTTTCCTTTCATATTGTTGATAATCCATTTTAGATGGTGACGTTTCCTTGGCACCATCTTATGGTATTTATATATCTCAACTTGCTCGATTCACTCGTGTATGTAACAACGTATTTGATTTTAACGAAAGAAATCTCTGTATTGTTGAAAAATTATTACACCAGGGTTTTTCGATATTCTTAACAAAGCACAAGAATGTCGTCATTCACCTCAAAAGCTAACCAAATCTTTAAACAGACTTATTCAGAAGGGATACAGTTACAATACTGTTGTTAGGTCATTAAAGATGGCATTTTTTGGAATTAATATTGATTCACTCATAGGGTCTTTGCACCGGAAAAAAACACGTTTATTCTAAAACCAGTTGTTGGCATGATACGGGTTATGTTTTTATATCGTATATTTTATGATGGTACGATACTCCTAACGGGAGGGATTGTGCTTGATTTTCATAAGATGAAGACATTATCTTTCAATCAGTTTAATTGAGGTCTGGAGCTGGCATGTCAGTAACTGCTAGTAGTCCTCTATTAGTTTATGTTGACTATTGTCATTTTGCTTAGTTTCTTCTGTTACCTATTCTAACATCGGACTCGGTCTTCTTTTAAACTGATTTTTACTATGCGTATTTCTATGTGTTTGGTTATTCCACATTGACTAGAGTTATAGCGGGAGGGTTGAGATCTCACAAAACATGTTTAACCCTGCCACATTTTTGTGCCTGTCCTAATTCAGGAACCTCTGGCCTTTGTTAGTCTTGTGTGGTTTTTTAATTTTGGTTCATTTATATGTTTCGGAGTTTAGTGTGACGTCCATTTTCGCTGAACTAGTATACATTGTTGTTTAGGGGCCAACTGAAGCCCGCCTCTGGGTGCGGGATTTTTTTCGCTGTGTTGAAGACCCAATGGTGGCCTTGGGCTGTTTTCTGCTCTTTGGTCCCGTTGTTGTCTCTTTTACGCATTCCCCATTTCCATTTTCAATTCTATGTTGCATTTTGTTTGAAAGTTATACCTGCTATTAAACTTAATTATTATGTAAACTAAGATATTTCACAGCTGTTTATAGGACTTTACTTACGCAAATTTATTTTTCTTTGCCACATAGTCTCTTTGAAAGAATGGAATGCTATAAGTCATCACCCAACTATCCACCATTCCATCGCATTTAAACTGGGGATTGGACCACATACCATCATCATATTTGGGAGCAAAGTACGCGATTGGATAATATTCAAATTTGACTGCACTTGTTCCTTTAATGTCTGAACGTACAAGTTGATTCATTTTATGTTTTTCGAGTTTTGCTGTATTTGTTTTCCATCTCTCTTTGATACTCTGGTACCAGTTTTCAAAAATGTATTTTCTTGGTAAACCGGTCATGTCTATAGCTTTAGCAACACCTTCACTTTTGAATGCATAAGGACCAAAGAGTTCTTTAGGAGTCCCATCCTGGTTTTTGAAAACGTATGGTTCAAAGAAAATTCCACTGGAAACAATTCTATAGTCTGCCATTACATTAGCCAAAACTTCTCCAAATAAATGATCTTGATGCAATCTGCCACCTCCTCTTAAATTACCAAAATTGTCTGTAGCTTGAACAGTTTCTAAAAACAAACTAAGAAAATGTGATAATTTTAGTGCTGTTGTTCCCTGATATTTGAATTGATTTTCAACGTCGTAAGCAGCATCACCAGGTAAATGAAGAAGACTTGCAGGTACGCTTTTGCAATTGTTTTTATTTATACTGACCTTCTGTCGGAAAATTCTTATCATTCGATTAAATCGCATTTGATCAAATTTAGATCTGTTGCTAAAATCAGTGGTTCTTTTCCTCCGTGTACTGTTACCATATTTGATTGAAGTGGTTTCATTTGTTGCCTTGACTGATCTCTTCTTCCGAACATTTATGTTGGCTGCACCAAATTCAACAGTCACATGAGCTTTCTGGTCAACAATAGGAAGAACACGGTAATCTATATAAAAGAAAGAAATTGTTTTCTTCGTAATATGAAATTGTCTCTTATCAAGATCAACTATAAAAAATTGGCGAAAGATACCAAAGCAACATTCAAACTCATAAGTCGAAAAAAAACCGACAACGCTTGGCTAAACAAAGAAAATATGCATGTATGTAGGCACTCGAAAAAAGGTTTTATTGTTCCCTTTGTTTCCTCTACCTTTTTGCATTTTTCTTTCTATTTCTTTTTTCTTCTGTATCATCCAATGTGAAAGTCTATTTTGTAAAGCATGTAAAAGTAATTCATTAAGACATACAAGTGCTAATATGAAGCAACAGTTACTTACGAATGTTCAAAACGCGTTATTCGATTTTGATTATTCAACTGGACATCTGACGGAATCGCAAGAATAAAATAACAAAGAAGACAACTACATACAATTCCGATCAAGATTATCCAGTTGCATCGACAGGATAAGATATAAACTGCATACCAATGCAATTAATAATTGATTATTCAAAATGGATAATTAACTATTTGACATTTATAATTAGTGTTGAAATTAAACAGAATGGAAATAACACTATAAATTTCATTATTTATCAGGAACGCTCAAACCTAAATATTTGTAATTCTAATGTAATTTTTATGTAACAATTTTTTTCATTGGCTAAAAGTTACCGTCAAATCCACAGTTGACCAGTCGTAACTAAGGATGGATCCGCCATTTTAAATTCATGGATCAACAAATGTTCGATTACTACAATATTATCGAAAATAAAACAACACCTACCTAAAAAAACGCCGGTTTGATGTGATTTTATCCAATTTGAATCGTAGAAGTAACGAAATAACCTTCAGTTTGTAAGTTTTCATTTGTATGACGTCATGATTTGCCATGACGTCTTTGCGCCAAAATCATTCATGAAGTTTCGCGGAATTTTATTTTATTTAAAATCTATTCATTTTTTCAAGCTCTAACGTATTATTTCTTTTTGTTATGCATTAGAATCGGAATAATAGTACTGTAGTTGAAGAGTTGCCACCTTCAATTTTGATTTGACGGTCGCAAATCTCCGTTTTACTGTCTCCGCTACGCGTTGCCAGTAAAACTGCATTTGCGACCGTCAAATCACCAATTGACGGTGGCAACTCTTCAACTACAGTACTGTTATTCCTTAAATATAAATTCGTAAACGTTATGACCTGTATGACCAAAAGGGACATAAAAAAGAAAAGCCAAATTAATAGTTTGTAAATTTAGTTTGAGGGAGTTGCAACCTTAGTGTCTCAATATATGTGTCAAAGGGGAATTCTAGAAAAAGTATATTTTAAATCATGTCAGTAGCGACGCACTGACTACTGAGCTTATGAAACTATCTAAGATTAACACTCCTCCAACAGTGATTCTCTTTTTCTCATTATTTCTTGATAGATAAAAACCTCTTTCTTAAAATAAACAATAAGCTTCCCACAACACCCGTATTCCACGTCACTGAACTATAAGAAATGTATCTTAATACCTTATATACATTTGGCGTAATTTCAGGTGATTTACATAACAATGAAATTGAATTGAATTGAAATATCATGCTTTGCCAAATCAAAGCTACAACTTAAAATTGTAAATAGTAGAAATGCATCGATAACATTTGAAGATGAATCAGTGTGCGTTTCTGTAATAAAGTCCACGTAAGCTCACATTTGAACATATTTGATAACATATAGCAAATACACACTACTTAAAATTGAAACACATTCATGAAAAGAATAACATTTTTTGTTTCATGTATATTTCAACTTACGATCACCACGTATGCAACCAAAACTGTTTGCATACTCCGCATTAGTTGCCTGTTCAAGCAGTTTTCCATCGTATGGTCCTTGAATACCCATAGGATATACGTATTTATTCTTACAGTGACAGATATATGCTCCACGCTTGAATCCTCTACCACTCACATGCTTACACTAAGAAATATACAAATATATAAAGCAGTTCAATAACTGTAAAAGAGTTGCTAAAAAGGAAAACCATTGTTTTCTTTGAAACTGTTTCATTGCAAGACATATTAGCAAACTCATTGGAACAGATTTATTTTTCGGTTGACACTGATAATGAATAATATCTTATGCACCTTATTGTTGTTTGTACACCATTACTATTCATTATAGAAGTTTCGGTACGATTTTGACGTAACTAATCAAAATTGACCAAATCGCGGATTGCGATGAGAACCCCAAGTTAAACTGTGATGTAAACAGTAATTTGAATATCTACCTCAGGCAAAGTTTACATTGAATGGTTTGGGCAATAATTTTAGGTCCTTTGTCGTACAGCTCTTCAACTGGTTTGGTTCTTATACATCCTTGGCTTTCAAATATTAGACTTTGAGCGTTCCTGATGAAAGTTATCCAGAAAAGCGCTTCGGAGGGATGAAATTTATAAAGTGATGTTTTCATTTTTTGCAGGATAAATATAGTTTCTTACCCCTGTATTCGGCTTACACCTTGCTATCCCGGCAAGATAGCTTGGTCCAGGATTTCCTGGGCTGATTCCACATGCATTGAAATCAATTTTTGCAAAATGTATATCCATTACCGCAACTCCAACGAATCTATGCAAAGAAATAAGACTTATTCATATCGTTGCTGTTAATTTGCTTTTGGTTTTTTTTTCAAGGGTTTTAAGGATTTTCTGGTGGTGGTTTCTTTTTAACACAAAGGAGAAGGTATGGCCCTTGAATTCGAAAATCAATATGTCTCATATATCTACACTATAACATCCTGCAGATGTCAATAAGACATATGTTGGTCATGTATCAGAAATTATATTTTTGAATTCTGTCTTACATATTTGCAACAGCGCTTCAAACTCACTTTGAATTTAGTGCAAAACTGCATAGATATAAGAAGATGTGGTATGAACAGATTCATTAGTATTTAAATATTTTAATTTGAGCAGCAGCTCTACACTAAAAGATGTTTTGCTACAAGATACATTTCACACATATGACTGTTAATGTGTGTAAATTATTTTTTAGGGAAGGCTGTTGCTCATATCTTCTATGTCCAAAAGTTTGCGTAAAATGGGGAAGTTAGGTCAAATATGTCAATTTTCAACATGTTTATGACATCACATGCGACCTTTATGCAACAAGGGTAGAAGGTATGATAATATCCATTATTTGGCCTCTAAAATTGTAAAAGTAGTCAACTTACTAAAGTATTCACTCCTTTCAAAATATTGTTAATTTTATTTATAAATGAACAGTTTAGTGTAATTTGGACAATTTAATGCATACAGGTCACTTGTGAAATCATAAAGTTGTTTTCCATTCGTTGTGTTTGAGCTTTTGAATTTGCCATTTGATTAGGGACATTCCGTTTTGAATTTTCCTTGGAGTTCGGTATTTTTGTTATTTTACTTTTTGTGATGTCAGGATGACTGCATAATCTGAGAAATAACAGAGATTGTGACACTCTTTCAATATGAGTAACGGATTTAAAGTCCATACTAGGACCAGGTATTGCTGTGTATCTATACATCACGTACAGAAAAATGAACGTCAATGAGACAGCAACCCGAGGACATCTTTAGGAGAGCATACTGTCTTCTGCATCAGACAGGTGTAAGTACTCCCTTATCTAAGATATCATTAACTCCTGGATTTCTTTTTGTTGTTGTTATTTTTTCCTATTATCTGTTTGACATCACTAAAATTATATTTTCAAATGATGTTTATCAATGTACAATATATGAAGTATAAAATCATAAATGCCCCAATTGTTCATAGGGTGCTTACCTCTGTCGTCTCATATGTGTATAGTTGGAGTATCGTGGGAAGAAATCAACAATAGGAGAAACTGCACTGACTACCCACTTGTTGGATTTTCCGCAGTCAAAATATGGTACTGTGAATCTTACTGGCATTTTGCCAATGTCTTTTTCGCTTTGACTTGGTAAGTTTGGACCAAAAAAATTGAAGACGTCATACTCTTCTTTAATGAATTTTCCAGTAACGTTGGAATAACGAATTCCTACGCTGTATGTGAATTTATTTGATTTGTCTTCATGCTCGTCTAAGTCTGGTAGCCAAAATTGGTACCAAGGATTCATTTTATGCCTTTCATTAGTATAGTTGTTGTTGTTTCCCGCTCCGATATCTTCAACTTGGACAACTCGTCGATTTGGTTCCCGAATAAAATTTCCTTGAGCAAAGGTATTGTCCGTCCGCCAACCTTTAACACCAAACAATGGAATAGTTTTATTAAAATCGAGGTTTGTCAACCAGTTCGGATAATAGACGTCTTGGTCAAAAATGATAGATGAACCGTTTATGACATATGGATGAGCATTGATATCTGCTGTTACAGACATGTAGAGATAATGAATATTAGGTTGTATTGAGTAGTCGCTGGTACTGTTCATTCGTTGTAATATATAACTCATGAAGAATGCCCTATTCAGGGCCATGTTATGCATATGTACTAAGGCAGATCTATTTTGATAGAAAACTTTACTGAGCAGCTCATTTGCTTTCGGAATTTGTGTAACAATGTCATCCCTCATCAGCATATCAGCTTTTGATCTACTTACACAGTTGTGTCCCTTTATGGCATTGATGTATTTTCCAACCATTTCATCGTATCTATCCCTCTGAAGCCACGTAAAGACCCCATCTGCTACAACTAGTTCTTCTTTTAGTAATATACAATAGAAGAACTTGAGAAGAACAGTTGTTGCCTTTATCTTTGTCATAACCAAATTATGAGTAGATTTACTGGTATGTCAAAATATTAAACAAACCTGCAAAACAAAATAATTGTATCACCGAGTACCAACTAGAACAGTGATCCTTGTTTTATATACTTTACTCATTTTCACTTAAATTATTGAAATCTATATCATTTGCAGTGTAGCTTAATTCATCAAAACTTTAGTATAAATTCTTTTTAGGACTGACTTAACCTTTCTAGTAAGTTCTATGGGATATATTAATATATTAATTCAAATACAAAACTTATTACTGCGCTAGTTTGAATACTTAACTCTTTAGAATTAAACTAGCTTTGCCGCTTTGCAAACTAATTTTTTCATCTGTTTAATGCATAATGGTTAGTTATAAAATCGAATCAATGTGATTATTGAACTAAATATTCTACCTTTGCAATTTGAAAATTTACCAGTCTCGAGTGGAATTGCATAAGTCATATCGTTTTGCATGAGATGTGGTGGCAGAATCTGTTTCTTTAATAATTTGAAGGCAAACTTCATCTTTCTTGTCCAATTATTTGCAAAAAGATGTGTTCTTTTTATGTGGCGTCAATATGCATAGTATCATTTTTTACGTGACGTCACAATAACAATTATTTTTTCCAGTCGAGTCGTCAAAAAAGTCGTATCGCAACGCTCGGCTCTTTTTTTAACCATTTTGGCATGACGTTGTCAGTTTATTTTCGACTTATGAGTTACCGACCGACCTTCGGCAGAAAAACTGGCAATACTATTCAATTAAGATTAGAGTCGAATGCACCTGACACATGAGGCTCTGAACTTAGAAGATATTGTGTAAATGTCATCTTTTCTTCTATACATATATGAATGAAAGGAAATTTAGGACAAACTTCAATGTGTAAGCAACCTATCAACACAATAAAACAAAACCAATATAGACGTCAAAATAAACGTTTGTTTGTGTTTTTGTTTACTATATTTCAAACACAATGTGTCTACTTTATAGAAGATGAGCAAAGCGGATACACAAATAAAGTATAAAAGAATCTCAGTTTCAACATGAAAATTAGATCATTGATATATTAAACCATAGTTTTGGTGGGGTTCGTGTTGCTCAGTCTTTAGTTTTCAATGTTGTGTTTTGTGTACTATTGTTTGTCTGTTTGTCTTTTTCTTTTTTTACCAGTAGCGTTGTCAGTTTATTTTCGACTTATGAGTTTGAATGTCCCTTTGGTATCTTTCGCGCCCCCTTTTGAAAAAATTGTTATAATTTTGACTTGAGACAGCCTTCATATGGTGTTCCTTCTTTGGTGTCATCGCGTGTAACTAAAACCGTCTTATCACATTATTAAAAACTAAATTACGAAAATATGGCAAGAAAAGTATTCTAGTATCGTGAACACGTGTAATAATCCTATTAGATGTACAGTATTTTGAAACACGAATTTTACTCCATCTTAGTCACAAATTATTACTATATCAAGTGATAACTTCCTGACAAATAGCTTGAAAAAAAGTATTTGTGAAGGCTATGCATTTTATGTTAGAATTTATTATGGGTGCTGCGTTGACTGCATAAAATTTATTTCTTTTCATTCATAGACTTTCATTTTATTGTAAATTGGTTTTTAACAGTCAATAAAATAGCAAAACAGAGTTATGTAATGATACACCATTCATCAAACAAATAAAAACCATGCACGATATAAAGTTACAGCAGTTCTTTATCAAATGAGAACTGAACATAGACTTCTTAAAGGACATATATTAATACACTGAAATCCATAAATCATTATTTATGGGTTTGATAGTTAGGGATCATATGGTTTAATTTTGCTTAATCGTATATGAACGATATGTTTTTATACGTTGATGAATAATATATGATAATTAAGCATCCGACAATTGGGGATTGTTTGGGCACATTACATGTCGGTAATTATTACTTTTGAACATGTTTATCATTTTAGATTAAATATATTTCTCATTGAATTCTAAAAATTATATTAAGTGATTATGGGGAATCCAGCAATCGCTTAAGGCATACATGTAACTTAATAGCGAATAGTGCAGAGTTCGTGGTAATATGTTTCCAAACTTAGAGGGCTTGATACACCAGGAGTTGCAAGTAGAAGTGAAAAAGAGAATACAGAGTTTCTGATTGAACAATTCCGAAAATAATAAAATGAAGAGGTTGACAGAATTCACTTTTTAAATAAATAAATAATAAATAAATAAATAAATAAATAAATAAATAAATAAATAAATAAATAAATAAATAAATAAATAAATTAATTAATAAATAAATGAATGGATGGATGGATGGATGGATGGATGGATGGATGGATGGATCGATCGATTGATTAATAGATAGATAGATAGATCGATAGATCGATAGATAGATATATAGATAGATAGATAGATAGATAGATAGATAGATAGATAGATAGATAGATAGATAGATAGATTGATGTAGGCAAAACTGTTTCTGGTGGAAACATCACAGACATTATACAATAAAACAAAACGAAATATAACACTGACAATAAAACAAAACGAAATATAACACTGACAATAAAACAAAACGAAATATAACACTGACAACTAAAGCAAGAGCAGTATCTTTAAATAAGCAGTTCCTCGCCACTTTTGGCACCTGTCGTGATAGTCATTTCAAGTAAATTTAGGCGACCTGCCTCAATCGGGGATGACAATCGAGCAAAAGGAGGACAACGACACGTTGCATATATCCATCATTGTCATATGTGACACAGATATTCCATAACGGTCGACCAAATCATGAGGGCGTATAATTCAACATTCTAGATGTTTTCCCACAGACGCAATAATTCCGATACTTTACGTACCCCAGTAAAAATAATCAATAACAATTCAAAACTCTTCATTATAAATCAATATCAGAATTAATGCTCTTGTTATTTTAAAATCAATCATAAATTGAAATAAGTGATTACGTCGTATTATTTCACCTCCGAAATAGAGGTGATAGCGGCATCGTCACTATTCATGTTTACTTTTAGATTAGTGAGTAAACAGTAAACATTTGTGTGTGCCTCAAAACGATTGAACACCAAACGCTTTTGAAACCTAATTGATATTAACTCAGCGAGGACGTAAACTTGAGAAAACTCAGCAAATTTGTAGGACTCAAATCTGTGGTGGGTTCCAGATCTATGGCAGATTTTTTAGAATCCTAATCTATGGCAATTTTTTAGTTTCCTAATCTATGGCGGATTTCTAGTTTCAAATCTATGGCAGATTGTCTGCAAATGAAGGACCAGTCAGTACATATCTGACCAATGATTCCAATGTTGACTTAAACAAGTTGAAATGTCCAAAGATAGCAAGAATGCTGTCTTTTAAGTAAAAGCCAGTATACGAAAAACAGATTAGGAAGCATATCCATAACCATTTGTGAAACGAACATTGAATAATGGTCACCCAAATCGTGATGACAACCATAAAATGTTCGTAGTAAGGAAGTGATATACATTAATACAGACTTTCGGGGTGAAATAATGTGTCCCGGAAGAATAAGCATTGTATCTGTTTGACCCTTCATTTAATCAAGTCCCTTAACAACCCAAAAAGCAGTTTGACATTTTAACCTAATATTTTTTTGAACGTTAATAAATATTTTTTAACTGAATGACGATTTAAGTCAAAGTCCTGTAATAAACAATAACTTGTCATTTTTTGTATTCTTGTGTTTCAATGTTGCGTATGTGCTTTATCTATATGCCATTTTGTTTTTCTTTGTTGACATATTTGTTTGTTTTTATCGTGATTGAAATTATAACACAATGTTGACTGTTGTACCCCTATTTTTTGACATTTTTACCTATTATGTCTGTTTGTTTAGTTTACACATTGTTGTCAATATAATGGAACTTTATGCGACTGTCATAAAAGTGAGAGGTTTAGCTAGCTTTAAAACCAGGTTAAATCCACCATTTTCTACACAAAAAAATGCCTGTACCAAGTCAGGAATATGGCAGTTGTTTTCCATTCGTCTGATGTGGTTGAGCTTTTGATTTTGCCAATTGTTAAAGGACTTTCCGTTCTGAATTTTTCTTGGAGTTCGGTATTTTTGTTGTTTTACTTTTTGCCTCAAAAACGTAGCTTTCTTAGAAAATTCTCATTTCTCCAACAGTACAGTTATTCGACTTAAATATAGCTCAAATAATGTAAATTGTTATTAGAAATCTATGACAGATTTTTGTTTTAGTTTCCAAATCTCAAGAAATATTATTTGCTACAATGTTACAGGTACGGACTGTTATATAGCTGACAATAAGCTATTGATGATGTTAAAAGAAAACTAAAGAGTACCATAGGGATAAACAAAAATACAAGAAAATAGCATAGCGTAACGAAAAATTACGAAAGAAATGCAAAAAGCATACAAAAATACACAGTTAAAACTTGTACAATTAAGGGGGAGAGCAACACCAGGAACACGAGAACAAGAAAACAAGGAAAGGAAACAAACACGAATTCTAATGCAATTATTTTGTATCAATGGTTCTGATTGGATGACAATAAGCGTAAAATTCTCTATCTCCCTGTCTGTAACTAAGGAATCCGACATTTTGAATTCCGAAATGTATTGACATGGAATTTCTCCAATAATAAGCAAAAAAACTCACATTTTGCACCTAGAAATCTTCTTTTTATCAAATTTTATTACATTCTGAAGCGGACAAGAAGTCAGAAAACACCCGGTGTTTACGTTTGATGCCAGAAGCATACTTATGACGTCACCTAGTTAAGGCGCCAAAGAAGATAACATTATTTCGCGGGATTTTCGTTTAATGAAAATGTACACTATAATAATGACTAAAATTGAATGATTTGTTTATTTTGCATTAGAATAGAGATAACTGTATTGTATGTGAAGCTTTACGGACGTCCATCGGTAGTTTTACTGTCGCAAATAACCGTTTACCTGTCTCCGCTACGCGTCGCCAGGTAAACTAAATTTGCGACTGCAAAACTACCGATGGACGTCCGCAAAGCTTCAAATACAATACAGTTATCTCTAAAATATAAAACGTTATCTTAAGGGCATACGATATCGTTACAGGGGAGATAATGACGTTGCTGACGTAATATGTTATTTTTCACGACGTCAAAGTCACTCAAACTGTGAGATATCGGGAAAAGATGCCTTTTTCGAGTGATTTTAATCATTAGCTTGAAAATGAGTACATGGATCCCATTTTTTTAAATGATGGTTGGCTTGATTATGTATGAAGATTTTTTGTTCCAATTTTCATGAAGAAATCACCGATGATTTTTTTTTTTAAATTACATAAATATACGGCAAAAATTGCCGGTATTTTCTTAAATCATAAAAAATTAATAAAAATTAATTATTTCCAAAGAATTTTAACACAAATTTAGAGCATACTTTTGACAAAAAATTTTAAGTAAATGTCTAAATTTTCGACCCATTTAACCTAGAAATGTATCACATGAAGGTATATTTTTTATTGCATATTTGAATTGACTTGGTGACAAATAGGTTGTATGCAACTTTTCGTTATAAAATCACCGTGGGAACAAAACTGTATCGTATGCCCTTAAAAATATAAACCAGTTTTGGTAATTCATATATAATTACATTACATGTATGTTTCATTATAATCTGTAATGTTGATTGAACAATCACGAGGCACTTCAATTGCATATTTTATTTCCATATAAAATGCAACAGCTTTGATTGCACGTGCTACCAAAAGCTTGACATAACTCTTAATTTCAGCTTTGTAGGATAAACATGTAATAATAAGAATTGAATGCTTCTTTTTATAATTTTGTTGGGGTTCATACAAAATTTGCTTCGGTCAACGCTTTTACACCCCAATAAACTATTATAAAAAGAAGCATACAATTCTTAAATGTGTACTTACCTAAAATGTCTGAATTTCTACAAAGATATAAAATCTAAACCCTTGTCACATTTTATGCAGCTAAAGAGTAGCTTGAATGCATCTAACAATAAGGTTTCAAGGAGGTCAGACAATTGCATGTTACGTAATATTCAATACTCTTTCAATACTCATATGCACGGCAATAATGCAGTTATAACAATTCGTTTCTACCTAACTGCCCTCGGAATCGTCATGTTTTCAATGTTTTACATGTAATATATTTCAAACAATGTAACTGTTACTACTTATTATTATAGCTTGTAGCATTTGGAAACCGGTAGAGTTGTTTTCTCGTTTGTAAATACAGTTGTAATTCTTATCCGCTCCGAGTTTAGAATGTTTAACATGCCTCAAAAATAATTAGATTAGATTAAATCAAAATCAGTGACAGAAATTATTCAATCGAGATAATTTTAACGTATTTTGGAATTATGTGAATATTAGCGAAAATCCCATTTGATGTGAAAACATGTCTATGTATAGGTTTCAAAATCCAGATCTAACCAGCTTTTACTTGTGATCATATAAAATTATCAGCAATTATGGTTATATTTCTTTAGTCATATGAATTTCAACAGACACGACGGGTGCTTTGAATCTATAAATACTGCTAACTGAACTCAACTTTAGGAGATCAGTTATTTTTAAAAATACTTTTCAACAACGATATCACATACATTCATGATACACATACTTTCTGTTTATAATAAACCCATGCTAAATGCTAGTAGCTTGATGACTACCCTATTTTCATGCTAAATGACATAAAGAATTAGACCTTTGCCATGGTGTCCTTCACTAAGTGTACCTCTCATTGTCAATTTAGTTGACCAATTTGCACTAATGATGAAAATAAGTAGCATACGTAGTTAATTCGAATAAAAGAGTGATAGATTATACGTCAATGTGACAGCAACCTAACGATGACCAAAGACAACTAGAAGTCAATAGGTTTAGAACGAGGCTTTTCAAATACACTATAAGGAACCTTTCTGAGATTTTTGTTTATGATTTCATTTTCACTCGTAAACTGATTAACTTCATATTCCTTTTGTTTATGTTCGCAATCTCTTTATGACTGCAAGGCTTACAGAATATGTCAATTGCAATGCTATCTCTATTGCTAAATTTCATAAGGAATGCAATCAGATTCTACTGTGCCCATAAGCTAATGAGTTGTCGAGAATCTACATCTATATAATAAATGATATACCGGTAAAGGTAACAACGTCCAATAAGTTATGAAATAAGTTAAACCAAACCTTTTGAGATATTTTATTATTTGTATAAACATTGAACGTAGTTATCTATTCATCTATATAATATGCTGGCAGATGACATAAGTAAATGTAAAATATACAAAAGTTTGCAAATAAACTTTAACAAGAGACACACCAGAAAATCCTGCAACGAAATCATTGTTAGATAAACTAGGTTTATGGAAATCTATTCATTAACTTTGTCAGATTTTTATTGTTAGATAAACTAGGTTTATAAAAATATATTGATTAACATGGTCAGGTTGTTATTGGTAGAAAAACAATAAAACAATGTTTATGAAAATTTAAGAAATTCAATAAACTTTGTCAGATTTTTGAAATACATGGCATTGTCGTTAAAGGTATCAGATATCCTTTCGACATTTTAAAATAATATACTACACGACTGATCAATTTGTCAAACGAATTCGACGTATTTACACATCAATTACATGTATGTGCTTTAGAGTCAAATATTGCAGGATTTTCCGTTTGTGGATTCAGTGATATTAACATGCACAGTATGCTTTGAGCATAAGCTTAATTCATTCAAAAATGATAGGCAAAAAATCGTCATGAAGAAAATAATATACAGATAAAGTACATATATTCATAAAAACTGCTGTAATTAGTGTTGGAAAAAAATACACGAAGAGTTGGTTGTTGTTGGGAAAGGGGAGGGGTCAGAAAAATCAGTACTGATATGAATGCAGGTTTTCCTGTTTTAAACTATAACGAAATATGACATGGTTTTTTTTTTGAAAGGATTTCATTTACATTTCTTAACATTAAGACTATGGTATTTATTTGTAACAAAATCATTTGAAGCAAATATAATCAAGCATATGTTTTAGAAATCAAGCTGCCTTTCTTTACACATATTACACAGAAATAGATAATTTAGAATTAGCTAGGTTTGATCAGATTTTCATCCCCATATTATGATTTATGAGCATATCAGAGGTAGTTTTTTTTATCACTAAGACTATAACTCAGCATCGTATATTTTTTTATTCAGCTGTGTTTTAACAAAGAGTGAAAATTTTAATAAACGTAAATGAATCTGTATTGATATTCGATTTCCTAAAAAATAATCCAAATCACTCTGAAAACAAGTTCAATCAATACAACATTTGACATGTAATCAATTAACCATATGCCCTTGGCTAGTCCAGCTGCCTCACAGGAACAGTTTGGTCAAAACTGAAAACGATAACTAAAAACCCCCAACTTTTTCTCATTCCATCAAATAATGAGATTCATAAAAATGGATTTCAAGTCATTGTAAAAGATATAAATATAAAAATCAAAAATAAGGAATTCATCAATACAACAATATAGCACTGTCACAGTAACGTTTAAGATAATGCATTACTTTCTTGATTAATACAGTTTCCTGTAATAATAATAATTGAATGGAATGCATATATGCAATGTTTTATGATTACTTAATTGTCAATTTACAAGACTCTATCAGTCTCCATTTGAGTAACAGGTATGTGTTCGTTGGTTGATCCACCAAAATGGCATGAATACACCAATTTCATGACTGAAGACGTTATATGTCCTACTTGGTAGATAAACACGTATTTAGGTTCTAAAATATACACAATCTAATATCAATTGCGGAATGTAAGAATGTCAATCCTCATAAATTGTCAAAACTGATGATACATGAACATTTCTAGATACAATTGTTTGTCTCTCCTCTTCATATACGTTATAAATGAAAAATGTTCTCTTGTATATGTTTTGGAACTGATGATACATATTATGTTTTTCTAGGTGAGTTTTACTCTATATATCTGGACATCATTAATGCCACAATCATCCCTATCAATACCGAGATGTAATTCACATTGACAGCAGTGGCACCCCCTTGTACTCGACATACTAGCGAATCAAACCTGCAAAAAAGTAAGAGAAGATGATAATTCAGTTTTCTGTGATGTGTTTTTGTGTACTGTTGTTTGTCTAGTGGTTGTTTTTCGTTTTTCGATTTTTGCCATGGCATTGCCAGTTTGTTTCCGACTTATGAGTTTAAATATTCTGTTATCTTTCGCCTCTATTTAACTGCTTTATAAATTTTCATACTTCTGTCTTTAAATCAAAGACAGGATATATCGTTCTTGGTAGCATATTGTGGTGCGTCTAATTCAAGTGGACCATTCGACAATCAAAGACTACTGGTAAAAAATAAATCGAAAAACTTTTAGACCAGTTTTGTAATTTTTTTTTCTTTTGATAGAAACCTTGAATATATATGTCTTATCCATTTTATGTGTACCATATACAGCTCAACATTAGTTAAGTGCTGCTTAATATTGTATTTAATGCAAATCTGAATTGAAATTTTGTTATAAAAAAGGGAAAAATCACAACATAGCTGCCTACTAAAATCAACAAATTTTAAACAAGAACCGTCAAAAAAATCTCACAAAGTTTTCGTACAAGCTTTTACGAATAAAAATACATATAAAAAATATATTAGATTGACAAGATTGTATTATAATTTTCTGCTAAAATACATTTATTCAAGTTAATTTAAAATAACCCACCGACTGAACAATCCCTTGACTTTCTTTTCATATTCCAGCTCGACTAAACTTCCTTCTATAAAATTCTTTCCATCGGCAAACTGGTACTCGTATCCCTGTTTACAATCACATCGGTATGCTCCTCGTGAGTATTTATATCCAGGAATCATTTTACACTAGAAGTAAAGCAAAATTTTAGATACTACACTGGAAGTTATGTAAAAAGTTAAATCACAAAAATACTGAAATCCGAAGAAAATTCAAAACGGAAAGTCCCTAATCAAATGGCAAAATCAAAAGCACAAACACATCAAACGAATGGACAACAATTTTAAGTGGTTCTACTTGAAGCACGAGACGCTGTACACCGTATATAGGATGAACCAGATGAAATGAGATAGATAGGGAATGACAAAAATAGGGAAGAAAATACCAAGGTGGCATTCATAAATCATAAGCCGAAGGGAAAAGGGACAACGCCATATAGTAATATGATACGAAAAGAATAACGCTAGTGACACACGACGAAAAGTTACAAAAGAGTAGAGGAAGATAAAGAAAAGATGGGGATTTTATGTTCTTTTATTAACATTGGTAATTCATTGCAATTTTAACATGAAATGCGGCATTAACGTAGACAGCTTTAACGATAAGGTAACTGTTTGCTACTGATAACAGATAACAAACCAATCATAATGTGCCGACCATTCATCTTTTGATGGGGCGTTGAGCGTGGGTTTTTTTTAAAGATTAATTATTTGAGTCTAAATTTCCTAAAAAAAATTTGTTTTAGAAGGGAAGTGAAAAATATTTTTGTTTTTATCGAGCAACATTGAATTTCAAAAAAATATCATGTTCCTATATGTTATTTCACCTTTTTTGTTGAAATAAATAGTTTGTTTTTATTAAAGTCGAAAAAAATATTGTTTGTTCCCCTCCCCCACCCCCCCCCCCCCCCCCAAAAAAAAAAACCTGCTTCCACAAAAGATGAATGACCGATGCCAAGGTAATTCTGACGCTTTGATCTTTTCTATAGGTATCAGCTGATCAATTAATGAATGTGTATTTCTAACTTGTATATCAAACTGCTGGTCTATCTCATTTTTTTTTTCTTGTGAACTAGTGACCTTCCTTATTATTTCTTGTTTCTTGAATAACCGTCACCAGCGACGCTTGGAACCTAAGGGTGTGTAGATGATTTACAAAACTTACTTTAGTAGACTTATGACATCTAGCTGTATTTTTAAATGCATTAGCAACACTAAATGCCATTGGACATTGGTTTATTTCCAAATTATCAAGAGGTACATCGACAGTAACAACTCCTCTGAAAAATTGAAGGAAGACATGTGATTATAACTGTGTTCATATCTATTTGAGGACATTTAATTATTGCAAAAATATGAAAGTACAAAAAAAAGAATAAAACTATAAGCACATGCTCTTTGAAAAAGAATGTTTATCGTGGTAAAAAAATATTAGTTTAAATCTTTTAGATATGTTTTTTCATACATTTAGTCGATTATTTGGAGATAACAATATCTAGAACTTGATGAAAAACAGTGGACAAGTTTATTCTTCATTGTTTTGTATACTTACGCAAATTTGTTTTTCTTTGCAACATAATCCCTTCGGAAGAAAGGAATACTGTATGTCATAACCCAGTTATCTACCATTCCATCGCATTTAAACTTTGGATGAGACCACAGACCATCTTCATATTTAGGAGCATAGTAGCTTATTGGATAATATTCAAATTTTATTGAGCTGGTCCCTTTTGCGTCTGAGCGAACTAATTGATTCATTTTATGTTTCTTCAGTTTAACCGTATTTGTTTCCCAGCTCTGTTTAATATTCTGGTACCAGTCTTCAAAGATATATTTTCTTGGTAAACCTGCCATATCTATAGCCTTAGCAACGCCTTGATCTTTGAAAGCGTAAGGACCAAAAAGTTCTTTAGAAGTTCCGTCCTGGTTTACAAAAATGTATGGTTCGAAGAATATTCCACTAGATAAAATTCTATGATCTGCCATTACGTTAGCTAAAACTTCTCCAAATAAGTGATCCTGATGAAGTCTACCCCCTCCTCTTAGATTACCAAAATTGTCCGATATCTGAACAGTTTCCAAGAACAATGTTAGAAAATGTGATACTCTAAGAGCCGTGGCTCCTTGAAATTTAAATTGATTTTCAACGTCATATGCGGCGTCTCCTGGCAAGTTAAGAGAACTTGCAGGGACACTCTTGCAATTGTCTTTGTTTATACTGACTTTCTGTCTGAAAATCCTGATCATTCTATCAAAGCGCATTTGATCAAAGTCGGACCTATCTCCGTAATCCGTGGTTCTCTTTCTTCGCTTTTTCTTCTCCTTTTTCTTCTGACTTTGTTCAAACTCAACCTTGATAGTTTCCTTTACAGTTTCTCTTTCTCGGAATTCAACTTTTCCATGTTTTTCACTTCCATGGTTCACGGTATCCGTTTCATTGATTGACATAAGTGACCTCCTCTTACGAGTATTGATATTGGCCACTCCAAATTCAACTGTGACGTCAGCGTTCTGGTCAACAACGGGAAGAACGCGGTAATCTATGAAATATATGAAAAAATGCATATTCAGTAACTAGAGTGTAAAAAACACCATATCATTATTTGTAGTTCTGTTAAATTGTGATTTATTGTTTGGGCGGGGAAATACCGTAAATATACCGCATACTGCATATGAAAACTTCGTGCTTATTACTTATTACTGTAGATGTGAATTCAATACATTAATTTCGATGATGTGACATCCTAAATATGTGTATGTATCCTTTGTAGAATTATCATTCTTAAGCAAAATTTCAAGTGTGTTGTTAACATGTGCTTTTATGATTAATGAAGCAAACCGAGAAAGCTAGGCCTCAAGCATCACTGAAGAGACATCAATTGTCGAAAGCAGCATCTGGTGCAGTACAATTGGTATTGTTAATGTTTTATACATATTGATCAAGGCAAAACTTTCAAAAAGTCAAGAACAGTATATTTTCCTATATGTGACGGTGAAGTAGTCATTTTAAAGCACCATTGTACTGTGTGCAATACAGGCGAATATATCAGGGATTGTAGCGTTGCTATACAATGTGTATTCATATGGGAGTTCTTTTAATATCTATCGTATTCGTTTACTGTGACTGGAATGGCTGCTTTTTAATTTATTGATTATGACTTTATTTCCATTGAAGCACTTAAACCTAATTTTAACTAAAAGCACAGTCGTAAGAGAAATATTGCAATTCGTTCTGAAATACCGGTAACATAAAGACTTAGTACTCAATCAACAAATCTCCAATAAAAACACCATTTTCAACTTACGGTCGCCACGTATGCAATTAAAACTGTTTGCTCGCTCCTCATTGGTGGACATTTCAATCAGTTTTCCATCGTATGGTCCTTGGATATCCATAGGATAAACGTATTTACCCTTACAGTGACAGATATATCCTCCACGCCCATATCCTTTACCGCTTTTAGCTTTGCACTAAATAAACATTTTAAAACAAATAGGTAAATATCAAACAGTGAAAGGTCGCTAGAGTATAAGTTCCATCATTATTGTTAAACAGGAATCTCCATTTGAGAAAAAAAAATTATTCTTATTGTAACTGAGCCGGTTTTTATAGTATGTTTAACTTGTACGACTTATGGTCTAGAAATGTAAAGGGGTAAGTTCGTGCGCATGTAAAAATTGTTTAAGCTTATCACGTTTTGTGTTTGTACATTTATCAAGTCAAACTATCTTGGCTATATTTTTTTCGTGTAGTCATGTTTTTTGTACGTTTTTTTTCCCGGAGTAGTCGGTTATTGGTGGTTGGTCCGAAGGGGAGGTCTAATCTGCTGATGCACTGTCCTTTTTTGTAATTGTGCTTTCAATTTTTGTATGCTTATTTTTAGTTAATACATATCATATTGTCAATATAATTATAAAAAGTTGTAAAAGTATATACATCTTTGTATCTGTACTTGTGTTTTTAATTATCACGAAGGACCAAAAATTGAGATTGAATACACAATCATAAAGTGTCATATCGAAAAAAAAAAGACAAACTGTTCATTGTATCTAGTTTACACAAATCTCATACCGTATTTCATGCATTCAAAATTTATGACGACACACTCGACCTCGGATGAGTCGAACCTCGGATGAGTCGAATACTTTGGTCCGGTCCCTTCGACTTCGACACAACGAGGTTCGACTGTATGTAGAAATGGTTGTTTCATCATAAATCAGGTCGGTGGTTTTATTCGTTTGAATTGTTTCACATTCTGTTATGCCGGGGCCTGTAGTTGCTTAAATCCACGTCATTTTTTATGTTGATGAATAATGGTATCATTGGCAATCATACCACATCTCTTCATTTTATATATAAAATACGGAATGTACTATAAATTTTCACTTGTTTCAGTGTAATTTTGCATGGTTCCGATTCGTCACCGTGTTATTTAAATAATTAAAACCAACGTATCTTTATTTCAGAATTCGCGTTCATCTACTGAACATTAATATTTGAAATTATTAAATTATTTCATAAAACTAAAACTTTGTTTGTACATGTGGTTTTTGTAGGAGTTCTAGGCAACGGATCAAATCTTTTGCATAAACTAATTCTATCCAAGTCGAGTTTTGGATATTGGAAATTGATATGAAACATGAGTGAAGATTAATTATATTTCTGATTTGAGATCAATTCATTGGCTACATTACATACAAACCAATACCATATTTTTGTCTCGATTATTCTCAATGTTTCATGCATCTATTCAAATAAACAACTAAATGGACATTGACAACCAAACGGAATTTTAATTACGTACCAAACGGGAGGTTATGGTCCAAAGTCATGACGTTGGTCAATTAAATGTTTTGTATTACAAAAGATACCGCGTGTCATTTTTTTTTTTGCTAAACGTTCAAATAATTAAATTACTTACTCCAGTGTGATCTTTACACCTTGCTACCCCTGCAAGGTAGCTTGGTCCAGGATTTCCAGCGCTGATTCCACATGGGTTAAAGTCAATTTTCATAAAATCCGTATCCATAGTAACCACTCCAACAAATCTGGACAAAGGTAAATACTTGCTTAGATCGGATATATTATATATGATTATATTGTAATATAAAGTGGAAGAAAAATGTGAAGATATTCATGAGCACTTATATAAAAATGGAAAGTTATGTAAACTAATCTCTGATTTTTTTTTATTGATTCATGAATATATACATCTCCAATTTTTTTTTTTTTGTGTAACTAGCTCTTTGCCTGTTTGGTGAAAACGATTCCTTTTTTTCTGTTTACTTGTATTAACCGTTGGAGGACATTATTTTTGTTTATGTTGGATTTAATCAGAAATCATAATATTATTTAAAACCTGAACCATAAAAAAATGTATTTGATCTTCGCTGAGATGCGTTTAAAATACCATTTAAAGTTCATCATCTGTTTAAAGATTGACATTCCTAACTTTGGACTCTTAAACATGCATGCTCCTGGTGAGAAATTAAGCTGAGCTCCATGTGTCAATCAATCAATCTAATAGATACTTTACCAAAGAACAATAAGCCAACAAATAATCCATACGCACTGATCAGTTATATAAGATATTGAAGTTTAAAAGGCATTTTTAAACACTGTGCATTTTGATGGATGACGTGTACTTACCTCTGTCGCCTCATGTGCGTATAATTTGAATATCTTGGAAAGAAATCAACGATTGGGGCTACGGCGCTTACTTTCCATGTGTTTGATCTTCCACAATCAAAATATGGTACTGTAAATCTTACTGGCATTTTCCCAATGTCTTTTTCGCTCTGACTAGGTAGATTTGGTCCAAAAAAATTGAAGACATCAAAATCTTCTTTGATGAATTTTCCCGTAACGTTTGAATATCGAATTCCTACGCTATACGTAAACTTATTAGATTTGTCTTCCTGTCCATCTAAATCCGGTAACCAAAAGTTATACCAAGGGTTCATCTTATATCCGTCATTGGTATAATTCTTATTGTTTCCTGCTCCCAGGTCTTGGCATTGGACAACTCGTCTATTAGGTTCCCGAATAAAATTTCCTTGTGCAAAAGTATTGTCTTTCCGCCAACCTTTTACACCGAACAGTGGAATAGTTTTATTAAAATCTAAGTTTGTCAACCAGTTCGGATAATAGACATCTTGATCAAAAATGATGGATGATCCGTTAATGGCATACGGATTAGCATTTATATCTGCTGTTACTGACATATAGAGATAATGAATATTAGGTTGTATAGAATAGTCTTCTGTACTATTCATTCGTTGTAATATATAACTCATGAAAAATGCCCTATTAAGAGCCATATTGTGCATATGTACAAACACAGATCTATTTGAATAGAAAACTTTACTGAGAAGCTCGTTTGCTTTCGGAATTTGTGTAACAATATCATCCCTCATCATCATATCAGCTTTTGATCTTGGTGCACAGTTATGTCCCTTTATAGCATTGATGTATTTTCCAACAATTTCATCAAATCTGTCTCTCTGAAGCCACGTAAACTTTCCTGCAGCTTCCATTCCACTTAGACACACTAGGATAATAAAGCAGGGCGCAACAATCGTGTATAATTGAAATTTTGCCATTGTCCAGTCTTTTGGTTTGGCTACCAACACATTAAAATATTAAATCCCCCTGAAAAGGAAATCGTAGTTTTAACTTGAATTTGAAAGATATTTTTCAATAGTTCATGATATTCTGTTTTTTTTTTTTGCGGATTATAAGATGCCACTTTTTTTTGGAAGTGGCTAAGTCTGAGAATAAAGCTTCAATGCATGTACCCTGACACACCGTAAGTAGATGTGTAAGGTACGCCACTTTTGTCAGTAATGGTTCAGTGTTTATATGGATTGTAGTGCAGATGTAATTGTAGAATCGCTTAACTACTTTTCATTGTTTGGTGGGACACCAATCATGCCCCGCTCGCAATATCACATTTCTATGTTCTAGTGAACCCCGAAATCTGGGTCCATGTCCAAAATAAGCATACATTTTTTGTTTAAAGTTCTCATAATAATCAACATGTGTAATAAGTTTCAAGTTGATATGACATCAACTTCATGATAAACTACCTCATTTCCAAACTTTAATCTCACCTAAACAAATACACTATAACCTGATCAGTGGATCAAAACGCTAATTGACATATGTTTTTTAAAGACTCATATCATAATGAACATGTGTATTTATTTTCAAGTTAATGTGACCACAGCTTCATGGTAAATAACTATAACTTGAAACAGGAAGCACAGACCCAAATATAATCCCCCTACTATTGTAGATGGGACATAAAAAAGTTAGGGCGTTGAAATAAAAAAAGTACTCAAAACTTTATACAACAAAATTTTCGAAGGTCAACTTTATATGTACTAAAATTTAAGTAAAAAGTATTGACCGATTGCTGACATTTGTCTCTATATGTGTTCTTCAAGTATTAATACTTTAAGTAATGACCATATTACGTTCATAGATATATGAGAAGTTACTGGAAAGAGGTACATATCGACCGTACCCAGCTGAGAAATATATAAGAAGGAGAAAATGCAAATCTCCTTCTTCTTATGTGACGTTTCTATTTTCTGACGTCAGACACGCGAAGCAATGAATGTGGTTTTTAATTTGATAGATGCTTTTGTGCTTTTTAGTAAATGATTGTTTGTTTTGATATTGTAACATGCACAGTGATGACTGTTGTACCCATATTTTGACTATTTTATTTATTACGTCTGTTTTGTTCACGCATCGTTGTAAATATAACGGAATTTGACGAAGCTGTCGTACAAGTGAGAGGTTTAGCGCTATAAAACCAGGTTCAATCCACCATTTTCTACATTTGAAAATGCCTGTACCAAGTCAGGAATATGACAGTTGTTGTCCATTCGTTTGATGTGTTTTGTCATTTGATTTTGCCATGTGATTAGGGACTTTCCGATTGAATTTTCCTCGGAGTTCAGTATTTTTGTGATTTTACTTTTTTCTAAGAGAGTGCACATGTTCTGTTCCTATTAGTGATCGGGATATCACCTCCAAGGAAAGAAAAATATTAATATTGAATGAAATTCACAACCTCCAACAAATGTTTAAAGATGCAGTAAACAACTACAGGTCACTGTACGTACGGCCTTTAACACATTCTTTGTGTTGTAAGTCTAGGTTATTCCACACAACGAAGCATGAATTAGCTATTCGTGACTATATCTGAAATATGAACTTGATTTTTTTAAATTATGTCATGATTGTGGATACAAAAGCCTTTTATTTAAAAATGTGAAATCCAAACAATGTCTTTACATAACATTTATACTTAGTCGGTCCATTAAGGAAAACTTATTTAAAAAATGAAAACAACACTTTATAAAGTTCATGCGTCCGAAGAGCTTCTCTGGGTTCATCTTCAACAGGAACGCTCAAAGCCGAATATTTCAAGACCAAGGATGTGTAAGAACCGAAACAATTGAAGAACTGTATGATAAAAAAAAAAGACCTAAAATCTTGCAATTCCTTCTGTTTTGTTATATGACAACGTCCGTCGATACCCACTAAACACATAACGTTCAATGATCGTTGTGGATTGGTTCCTGTAAGGTTATTTAGGACATTAACGTTACACGAACGTTGTGAGTACGTACGTTAAAATGAAACGTTACAATTCAACGTTCTAGGAACGTTTTTTTTTAACGTTGTGTGGAAGTTTCATTTTGGTTATGTTACAAATAATACGTTGTAGAAACGTTGAATATTAGTTATTTTTAACGTTACTTGACTAACAGTTTTAAAACGTTCGAACAATGTTCCTCATTTTTTTAGAAAATTTAATCTTTCGAAAAAAAAAAATTTGAATTAATAGCAAAAAATGTAATTTATAAGATTTTTGCCATCATGCATATTAATCAAACCTTCAAAGTAATTTGTTTAAGAGAGTCAATGCTGATAGTTTTTGAAACTCCTCATAAACCACTTACAGGTAATTCATTAAAACCATCTTTACAAAACAGAATAAAAACCATATAAATATGCATATCAAAAGGTTATTCCTTTCTCGGTTGTGTTTTTTATTAAAAAAAAATTGAGAAAATTTTGCGAGGAAATTTGTTCACTTTATTCATTTTCAAGTTCACTTTTTTATCCATACAAAAGTAAATGTAATACTGAACGTGATCATTGACTGAAATAAGATTTACTACTCTATATTGGGCCAATGCTGGGCCAACATTGATCCTATCTTATACTCTATAGATTAGCCAGGTAAAATAGATAATGGAATATCAATACTGTCATAAAAAAAAATAACTTTTATTACTTAAACACTGTTTCACTGTTTATTCAAAATACACTCAGACGCAGATTTCCTGCGTAACAGGAGCGACAAATACACATAAATTTACAAATAACATAGAAGCGAAATGAGTAGAATACATAAAATAAAACAATATAAATATTTTTTTTTTTACAAAACTAAATGTATACTACATCTATTGACCAGATCGCAAAAAGTCCGTGCAATCTGTAAAGTTCAAATAACCACATGATCACATGAACACAATAAAATGATAATGGATAGTAGCAAAAAGTGTAACATATATAAAGATTCATATGTGATGATTTACAGAGAAAGCAGTAGTTTTTCAACCTTTTGAATGAAAATAGAAAGGTTAGTTAATACATTTAAGTTGCAGTATTTCAACATTCCATAAAGTTTGTTGATATTTGGGTTGATTCTGTAGTAATTAGGAATATATGCATTTCTTACTTCAATAACATCAGCATTGTTACATAGCGCTATGTAATGATACTCATCTCCAAGACCAGTCTTACAAAGCTTACATTTTCTTTCAATTTCTGGAATTCTATTCCATCTCCCCGTTTCGATAGGAAATTTGATATTGCAAGTGCGAAGTTTGCAAATATAGAGTCTACTAAATTTTCTAAGTCTAATTAGATAGGGTTCCATACAGAAGTCAGTCTTAAATTTTGAATAGAACTTCCCCCTTGATGAGTTATCGATATCCGAAAACCATTTTTGTATGAACTGGTCATGGAGTCTTTGTTTAACGTTAATTTTAAAAAAAATCAAATTAACGTTTCCTTGTACATGCCAGATTTCACTGTTACCAGTTTCATCAAAAATAGATTTTACATAATTAATCCACTTAAAAGAATTATTTCCATTTTCAAATAAATTAAACATAAGCTTGTAGAGTTTTCCAGACAGTTTATCAACATTTGTTACAAGTTTGTACCAGAAACAAATCATTTTCATCTTTATACTAATTTCGATAGGAAATCGGCCAAGTTCATCATAGACCATGAAATTTGCGGTCGATGACCTAACCCCCAGAATTTTTTTGCAGAACTGTAAATGTATCTTATCAATATTCATCTTATTTTCATATCCCCAAATTTCGGAGGAATAAGTCAAAATAGGGGCTACCAAAGAATCAAATAATTTTATCTGTAAATCTAAAGGAATACTAATATTATTAATTCTCTGGTACAGACTGTATAAAGCTTTTTGAGCTTGATCTACTAATTTGTTTCTGGCTTTACAAAAATTACCATTATAATTAAATAACAAGCCAAGATATGTATATGTATCTTGAATCTCAATTTCATCATTACATAGATTAAATTTGAATTTCTTATTACAGTTACGTTTAGAAAAAATTACAATTTTTGGTCTTTGAGACATTGACCTTAAGTTTCCAAGTATTACAATATTGTTCAAATATATTTAAAGTATTTTGTAAATCTTCAGCAGTATCTGCAAAGATAACTGTATCATCTGCATATAGTAAAATGAACATTTTCAAATAAATACCTATGCTATGTATACATTCTGAATCTAGGTATTCTAGACCATGGCCCAAATGTTGACTTAAAAAGTCTTCTAAATCATTCAAGTATAAGGCAAAAAGAAATGGAGATAATTTTTCTCCTTGTCTAACACCCGTTTCACATGGAAAAAATGCAGTTTTCAAATTATCAAGTTTAACACAAGACTTAATATCTGTGTACATATTCTGTATCAACGTAAACATTTTCCCTCTGATGTTATTTTTTATAAGTTTTTGGAAAAGTCCGGCCCTCCAAACGGTATCAAACGCCCGTTTAAAATCCACAAATGCACAGAACAGTTTCTTTCCGGCAGATAAATATTATAATGTAATAATAGAATGTAAAACAAACATGTTATCTTGGACAGAGTATCCCTTGCGGAATCCACCTTGTGAGTCCGAAATTATCCCTATTTCATCAGACAATTTATTAAGTCTTGTGTTTAAAATAGATGTAAACACCTTGCCCAAATTTGAAGTCAAGCAAAGCGCTCGATAATTGTCGAGATCATTTTTATCTCCTTTATTTTTAAATACAGGTTTTATAATACCAATTAACCATGCATCAGGAATAATCCCAGTATCTAATACAGTATTAAATATTTTCATATATATAGGCAATAATTTGTCAACAGTACTTTTCAAAAATTCATTTACAATTTCATCATCACCTGGTGCTTTATCATTATTTAAACTTTGTATAGTTTTACAGATTTCTTCACCAGTTATCTCGCAATCTAATATATCAATAATAACCTGATTATCTAAGTTATGAACACTTTCATTAAGATGATCTGGATC